ACAAGCCTTTTAAGCTCCTCCCCCTTTAAAGCCTGCCTTTTTTCAAATTCAGTGGGTTGAATATGTAGAAGAACCACAAGTCAAAGCATCCAAATCAACTCACAAATTGGCCATTTTTAATTATGAGCAACCACTGTTTAAACAGTAAATATGACAGGAAATTAATAAAAGGTCCTCTTTAAATATAACAGTTAAGCTGTATTTAAAATCAGTATATGATATATGATATGAGCGGCTAAATTATCTTCTCCTAAAAGCTTGAAGAGGTTATTATTGTACACTGTGACAGAAAATAAAATCTTCCACATTAGAATCACAGCTTCAACTTTGACATAAACTAACTGGAAGATGGAAACTCACTTGTGTTGGTCAACTCAGAGTAACATTTGAGCTATTTTTATTGTTATCTGTTGCCACCCAAAGTATTACAATAAAAAAAAAAAAATCCAAAGAAAAAGAAGATTAAAATGAAAACAAAAAAACACTTTAGTTTGTAGCCATATCGCCCAGTTTCTGTAGTAAGAGTCACCCTAGCAGCTTAGGAGCTTTTGCATAATGTTTCATTAGTAAAAAAGGCACCAAATATTCATGACCTAGAAACTGGGTAAAAAAAAAAAAATTGAAGAGCTCCGAGATGGTTCCCTGAAGAACACCTTCAAAATATTTTTTTATATTTGAAGTTTCTGTCATGAAGCATTTTTAAAATAATCTTTAGAAAACCCTTTCTTCCGTACATGTGAAACATTCAATATGGGTAGGTGAGGAAGATCAGGTTATAAACTTAAAACTTTAAAGGGACAGTTGACCACAAATCTCTGTATTTGACCTCTCGCATGTAGTCCTCTGTATCTGTCTACAGACTGCTTTGGTTTGTCCAAGTGAGATTTTTTTTGTGCTGTTAAAAGTGCCAAAAACTACAGCAGAGAAGTCTATTTCCAGAAATCCTGACATAGTTATTCCAAAAGCAGTTCTGAGAAAAAACAATTGTCTCTTTACCAAACTACACCCTGTACCACAACTCTTTCTTCACTCTGCAATAAACAGGCTCCATCTACCTGTGATGAAGGTGAACAACAGAATCAAACATTAATTGAATCACCTTGGCTGAGCTGCATTTAGCTTTCTGCGCTCTTCGTTTAGCTGTCAGGTGTAAACAGTGGTAGGAAAACAGTTCGGTAACGAGGTTTGCAGAGGTCTTTTTAGAGTAACTGGGCCACAACACAGGTGACATTTAGGTCTGTAACATAGACCAGAAGGCAAATATATATATATATATATAGGTATCTGGATGAATTTACAGCACTACAGGCCAAAGGGAAAACATGGAAGCTGGAATGTTGCAGCAAACCAATCCTTCAAGCATCCATACATCTGCAGATAATTCTGCTCAATGATAGCAGCAATTTTAAAACTAACTCTGAGATGTAACTTTCCTTTATCATTAAAAAAATATATATATAAAAACTGTAACATTTGCAGTGTTTTTCCCCCAGGTGCGGCTTGTTTTCAGCTTGGTGTTGTCAAAGGTTCCTTGACGACTTTAAAATCTTCAAATTTTCCATGACGGATAAATCAAACAGAAAATGAGCGATCAGTAGATTCCAGTATCAGGTTCATTAAGTGGAAAGCACTATGCATTTTCCGGATTAGTTTTTTCCTTGCTGTGGTGCTAGATTTTGAGATGAATTCCTCACCATCTTAACATGTTTGGTTAACTCCAACAGTCCATGATCTGATGTTTTTATCCAGAACTATAAAATGATGTACTGCATTGCCTTTTATCAGGACCGTGAAACTTAAATGGATATTTAAAAGCAGAATATTAAAAACTCTTCCAGAAACCAGGTGAGAATAATTGTCTCATCTAATAAAATTCAAACTGAGCTTTTCCTCCTCAGTGGCTGAGCAGTTTGAGTCGAGCCAGCCAGCCGCCGAGCAGTGACGTGGACTGTTTGTTTACACCCTTAGTGGGAGAGACAGCGGCAGAAGTGGAGGCAGAAGCCTTTTTGGACCCCACTTCCTGGTAAGGTATGGTGGCTGTGTTGTGCAGGTTGGCGTTAATGTAGCACTGGCTGCCCCTGATATGGTCGACGCCACGTACAGATGGGTGACCTCGGTACGGCAGAGGGAAACACGGCTCCTCCTCCGTGATAGTGCTAATGCCCTCATTACTCCGATACATGTGCAGGACGTCCTTACCTGTTAGAAGACAACAGGTTAATTATTTAATTATTTGGCTTGTTTCATTTTAGCTGTGAGACCTTGAAATGACGACTTTCATGTTCCTAAATACGGCAACCTTGTACTGAAGAAGAAATGAGGTAGTCCTACATGCTGGATTTACATGTGAGTGAAAATACATAATAAGCAAGTCCTCCCTAAACGAGCTTCTATCCTTCCATCCTCCCTGTTGAATCGTACAAAACAGCTAAAAGTAACAGTTGACTTGTTAAGTT